ATGCTTTAACTTTTTAAACATCTGTAGATTCTACTTTGTAAAGTAAGTAAGTATTTATCGAATGGCCCTCTAGACAGGAAATGAATTGGGGCTGTTACCTGAAGGATTTAAATCACTCTCCAGTGATTAATAAATACTGAGAAAAAAGTAGCCCCAAATAGTAAGACAATGTCCTGAAATTACCATGGAATATGGTTACCTGCTAGGTATGTATTATTCTAGAGCAGTGGTTCTCAATCAGGGCAATTTTGCCCCACTCCCACCCTGGGACATCTGCAATGCTTAGACATTTTTTTTTTTGGTTACAACAATTGAAGGGGGAGGGTGCTACTGGCATCTAGAGATTAAAGACCATGGATGCTGCTAACCAGCCTATAATACACAGGGAACACCCCCTACCAAAGAATTATCCACCCTTTATAAAATGTCAACAGTGCAAAAGCTGGGAAACTCTGTTCTAGAGGGGTATACATAGGGAAACCAAAGCAGAGAGACACAGAAAGATGGCTAGAGTCCAAGATCCATTTCTATTCTCACCTTCTGGCTCCGCCACTCCTGGCCCGTGTTCCCGGGAGAAGGTCAGGGCCTCCACTGGCTCTTCCTTGGCTGGGAGAGGTGGAGGATGAGTACTTTTAGCAACAGGTTGAGTGTTCTTTGGCTTGACAAATACAGGTCCTTTACCTACATGGTGATGGATTGGCCTGCGTCTATGAACGCCAGAAACCGTATAACCCATTCCACCAGGACAGATTTCCTTAAAAGCAGCTAGATTTGGGATGGGAAAATATTCCTTTTAAAAATCTAACAGTGCAAACTTATACAGAGGAAAATATCATGATGAATATCTCTTAATAAATCATCACTAATATAGATACATTTAAAGACTTCAAAAAGATGCAAAATGTAAGCAAATTGCTTTAATTTCTGATAAACTTGAATATTTACAGAAAAAAATCCAACCTTTTTTTTTAACTAAACATTTCTCCATCTGTTAATTCCTTATCCTACTCAATCAGAATATCATAAATATTCTAATAGAAAATCATTTTGAAGGTTAAAAAGAACGACTTGCAAACAATGAATAAATTACCTTTTCAGGGGGTACAGTTGCCACTAAAACCAGAAAAGAAAGAAGGGCTTTAGTACATTTTAAGACAAATTCACTCTATTATCTTTAAATTTTTCAAAAGCAATGAAAGTCTAGTATCTCTCCAAAAAAATTAAAAATCAAACAAAAGCAAATGCAGAATTAAGGTTATCTACCATGTGGGAGAATTTTACCCATGACTGACAGAAAATTCTCAGTGCTATGTTATTCTTCAACTACAGGAGCTCAGGGAGCACATGTAAGTCTTTCAGACTCTCTCATTTAAAATTGAGATAATTAAACTAAAAAGTTAAAGAAGGTAACACTTTCTGGTGTATTATTTTACGCCTAATCTCAATTATGTGGAACTTCCCATATCTTAGAAAACAAACATTTTCCTTAATTTGTCAAATATTTTAACATAGTATATAATGTTTGAAATGCTCTCCGGTGTCAACGTTAAAACAGAAGGCCACTATTTCAATAAGAGACATGAGACTAGATGCTGCATTCTTGATGTATCCTAATCTTTAATGAAGCCCTGTGAGCCTTTTCAGGAAGATACACTAACTTAATCATGAAAAAGAATCTCACAAGCCAGTAAGAGCCGATTAGAGGTCAGCATTAATACAGTGAACAAATTACATATTACAAAACATGTGGGGGTAGTGGTGACGCCTTTGTACTTTGAAAGACTTGCTTTTCATTACTCAGTTCTTAGCATTAGTCCTTTAGCCCTGGGTCAACATTCCCCAGGATTTTTCTCATGATTAGTATCTCCTAAACATTAACATACAGGTTGGGTAGGTGCATTAACTTCTAAAAGCAATTAGGGTACCAGATAAATTAAAATTACTGCTGCAATATATTCTTGTGGTTGGAGAAAGTCAATTAACCTATCCTGCTTAACCCACCACCAGGAAAGTCTTGATGCAAAATCTGGATCACAGCCCAACTTCCTCCTGCCTGTACAAAGGACAAACAGTTGCAAACATCTGGTCATGACACCCTGAGTATACAGGAATAAACTGATCAATGCTGACAATTCCAGGTGTGGTCCCACCTGCTCTGCCTAACCAAGAAAAAGTACAGTGAGTGAAAGAATAGAATAAAATAGGGCAGAACACACAAATGTTCACAGCCCAGAAAAAATCCTGTCTACCAAGCAGGCTGTGCCAAGCTCCCAAACTCATGCTTAGCCTGGACACCCTATCTCCTCTCAAGATTTATAAATGGGCACCCTGAGTTCTGACCTAACAATCAACCATAAAAAGCCAATAGGAGCTTTATTAGAGTAAATATATATATTCCATACAAACCTAAAATTTTTGTTCCTTCTATCTAGGATGAGAATTTCTGTGATAACCAAGATATTCGAGGTATTAGATATGCTGGTTCATATAAAGAGACAGAGATAGAGATGGTCCCTCTTCCTGAATGCCAGAGAGAGTGTCAGTCAATTGTCTCTAGACACCCTCTCAAGTATAAGGCCTTCAACCATTTCCTTGGAAAAATGTGTCCCTTGGTCAGGGG